TACAATCTTGTGCGATGCGGTAGCATTCTTGGGCTGTGCCTTTTTCGCCTCGGATGCTGAATATCTACCACGGAGTTGGGAATCTGATTACTTGATACAGGCTGGATGGGATGGCCCTCATGGTGTGTATCCATGGTCGTCCTATGGTTACATTGTAAACTGTGTCCTGGTTCATGACGTGGAACGTTGTTTCTAGGGTGACGCCTCGGCCAGAACAGGCAACGTTATCTCTCCTGAGGTTCGCTCGACTGCATTATTAAAACCCGTTAGTGTTATGCAGCGTGGTACTATCTTGTCCTCGAGTTGCATTTGCACAAGAACTCGAGGGTGAATAATACACGCGCCGCTACCGTTGTCTACCATTGTTCTTTTTGCATCAGCATCTGAAATACGTAAAGTAATGACAAGAGCATCGGAGTGAGGAAAAATCAAACCGTTGGTATCTGACTTCTCAAAAATGATACTTTCTTCGAGGTCATCATACCGTTTGTGGGTGATCGGCCGCTTCAGTTTGTGTGTGGTGGTAAACTTTATGTGGTTGATTGCTGCTTCGTCGCCTCCACCGATGATCATTTGAATGGTGCGGGCAGGGAAGGGCGGTTTTGGTGGTCCTTGGTGTGGTTCTCTTCCGCGGCCTAAATTGACTCTTCCTCGATTGCTCATCAGCTCCTTCAGGTGTCCTTGGTGGAGCATGTTTACTACTTCTTGCCGTAGGGCTATGCAGTCCTCAGTTTTGTAACCCCGTTCCTAATGAAATTCACAGAGGATGTTCGACTTTCAGGTACTCGGGCCGGATTTCATCGTCTGCGGCCACTTTACCTTCGGGCCGAGCTTTTCTAGTGCGTACACTATCTCTGAAGGGGAAAAATAAAAATTGTGAGCAGATATAGGCATACCTCTTTCGTTCCGCTGAGTCCCTGTATGCGGCCTAGACGGTCCTTCCGCGTGGCTAGGAGATGGTAGGACGGCTGTTCTGACATAAGGTTGGTGCCTATCTCGGTTGAGGCGAGGTCTTGGCTGATCTCTTCGACCGTCACTGCGACGGTCTTTCCTCGGGTCTGTTTGAACAGATGTTAATCGTTGTATCGAACCGTTAAGGTCATCTTCGTTCACTCTCACCCCGGCGTAGTAGGCGTTGTGAATTTCTTCCCATGTGTTGGGAGGGTATTTCATGAGTCTCCATAATAGTTTTCTTGTCGCTCTTGATCCATTCTTGTTCAACCCATTCTGGAAAGCTGCTACCGCCATTCCTTCTGATACATTTGGTAAGCTCATTCTTACCCTGTTAAATGGGGCTAAAAAGTCCCCGATTCCCTTGCCAGGCGATTGCCTAACGACGAATATACCATTTACTCTAGCTTCCGCTTTCTTAGCTCCGGCGTGGGTGGTGACGAACTTGTCGGCCATTTCCTCGAATGTTGTTATAGATCGTGCCGGTAATTGTGAGTACCAAGTTAAGGCTTCTCCGGTTAAGGTCTCACCAAACTTTTTTAGTAGCACTGACGGTACTTGCTCCTTTGAGAGGTCGTTGCCCTTTACTGTTGTGACGTAGTGAATGATGTGATCTTCGGGATCCATTGTGCCGTCATATATCTTCAAGTATGGCGGCATTTTGAAGGTTTTGAGCATGTGGGGCTGCCTCCTCGCTATATGGTTGTTCGATGAATCGGCCGACATCCTGTTTTGGTAGCAGTTTTGGTGCGCCCGGTATTTTATCGATCCTTTCTTGATGCTCCCTCATCTGGTCGCGGAGTTCCTTGTTCTCGTTTTCCATTTCTTCCATTTTCTTTAGGATGGACGTGAGTGCGTCATTACCTGCATCAATGGCGGTGTGAGTGTTACCTGTTGGGGGAGCGGGTTGCTCGTTGACGATCGCTGTGGTATCCGTCTGTATGACGTTCTTACTCGTCCGTTAAGCGGGTTTGTCGAGTATGTTATTTAGAGTGCTTGTCAGCCATTCCTCAAGTATTTTTTTCACTGTTGGTGGTGCTTCTTCGGCTGTGGATGTGGAAGCTCCTCTCTCACGTGAAGACACTTCCATGAGGGGGAGTGAGTCACTCCGCGTGGGTGTATCACCCGGCATCACATTCTCGTCGTCTTCTCTACCATCCTTGTTGATGGTGTTTGTGATGTTGGTAGTGATACCCATTATTGCTTTATGTCTTTCATCTCCTTTTCCTGCCATTGTTAGATTGTGCAGACGAGAAAAAGATGGTTGTCCTTTATGATCTAGAAGAAACTAAATTTTTTAACTAAAATACTCCCCACAGATGGCGCCAAATTGTTTGACCAAAAAGTGTTGAGCCTTTTAGTTAAACTGATTAACGATGAAATGAAGGATGAATCGTAGTTAAAAATAATAAATTCTAGATCAAGGATTATAGGATACCGGTGAGATAAATGGTGTTTTGATAGCGCTAACTAGCACGTTTGTATCCAATGAATGCCAATAAATATGATAATACAAATATGCAATAAATGTAGATAATGTCAATAAAGGTAATAAGAAAGAATCTACCACCCAATTATTATATGACTTGGATGGGTCTTTCCCCTGACAACATCGTGGAAAGAGGAGAAGAGAAGGTGGTTATGGGATCTTTGGATCTTGTGAACAAAGATCAAATAAAGTGCGTTGGAATAAGATAATCAATTAACAAGATAACTTTTGTATATTCTCTCAAGTCAACCTTTTATAATATATTTTTCTCAGAAAGTGAAGATCTCCTATTATTCTCCATCTTTTCCTATTTATAAGGGGTATTTTCAAGAAACCCTAAAAAGTACAAAATAAGGAATATCCAAAGGAATATTCCTTGTATTCATCCCCAAATCTATCCTACCGTTATTTCTTTGCCCCGATTGCCCGTCCTCGACTAAAATTCTCTTGAAGACGGCTTTTCGCTATTACGCCGTGGTCGACCCCGTTCACGATCTCATATCTGATTTTATCAAGTCGCCAAATTTAGACCAATACAGATATGCCAAACAATTTTTCTTTTCTAATTACGTGACTACTCAAATATGGCCTTAGGAAGCAAAGGATTTTTTCATTCCTATACACTATTGGAAACTTTATTACCCTAAATGTTCATGTTTAGTAAATTACCCTACCTACACAAGTTTTGTTTACAAAATATATACATTTCACCTTAAAACGCTCTCAATCCATTATTAGTGCCTTCAATTAAGGGATTTAGTTACACCCTTTTTCTTTTTTTTCTCCTCTTCTCTTTTCTTATTTTTCCTCCGCCTTAAAATATCTTGACTACTTTTTTTCTTCACTATTATAATTTTGGAAATCTTAACGCAGCTTAACTTTTTGTAGACTCGTTTGCATCAAGCAACATTGGGCGACGGTGATCGCCGACGAGAAGGTGACGGCCACTTAGCATAATATATAGTTTCAGTGTCAAAAAAATACCAACAAATTAAAGAAATAATCAAAGAAAGAAAATAACAAGCAAGCAAAAAGATGTTCTTTTCCTTATCAGCTTTTTCTTATTTTATTTTTTACAATGTTGCTGACCACTGTATTTATCAAAAGGAAGCTACCATAAAAATGCAATCCTTTAAAATCAAGCTGAGCATTTGAAAAGACAAGGGGAAGACAAAAAAATCGACCATAGGTTTCAATCATACTATCGGAGATGGCGTGGGGAGTGAGAGATGGAGCGTTGCGATCAGAAATCTATCGGAGATGGCGTCGAATCTGGATTCTCTCCAAGAGCTACTCGTGAAGAAAGCAGTGTACGTCGACGAAGACACCTTTGCCAAAGCCTCTCTCACCTCCCAGTTATATACAACTACAATATAATACCACTTAAATACAATTTTTATACAGTATATCTTTTATATATTTTGTATCTAATTTATACATAGTAAAAATAAATTTCATACAACTAAATTATATATTATACAATTTATCTACAACTTTCACACATTATTTCTACCCAGTTAAATACAATTACAATAACATACAACTTAAATACAAATCTTATACAATATATCTTTTGTATGTTTTGAATCTGATTTATACATAGTAAAACAAATTTCATACAACTAATTATATATTATACAACTTATCTATAATTTTCGTACATTATTTCTACTCAGTTATATACAACTACAATATCATACAACTAAAATATAATTTTTATACAATGTTGTTCAACTTTCATACAATAGTTAAATAAATAAAAGTATATAAACAACAGAATACAAATTTTCTACAATTTTACTACAATTTCTGCAGTATAATGTATGTCATGTCTTCTTCTTCTTCTTCTTCTTCTTCTTCTTCTTCTTCTTCGAGTTTTAATCTGAAATTCAGCCAAAACCAAGTAATATTCACCAAAAACTCTCAAAATTGAGATATAAACTCCAAACCATATTGTCAATTATTTGTAACAACACCCAATCCAAACAAATAATGATTTTTGAAAACCTAAATTCGAATTCAAAGCTTCAAATCTTTTTAATAGCTATCAATGGTGGAATTGCTGCTCTCTTTTCCTTTGCTTTACATTACTGAAATTTGGGATTGAGAGATAGAGAGAGACATAAAGAGCATTCTCAATTCTTTGCAACAATCCAATCCAAACAAACAATATTTTTTGAAAATTCAAATTCGAATTCAAAACTTCAAAGCATTTTACTGGTTGTCAATGGTGGAATTGCTGCTCTCTTGTGCAAGATACGTGGGGAGGGGGGTGAGATGTGGAAAGAGAAACGTGGGGAGTGGAAGATATGTTAGAGTAATTTTAGGACACTAATTATTATCATTAATTTCCTTAAAATGTACATAAACAGTAATTGGATTTATAAAATGTAATTATAGTAAAACTTGAGTAGGGAAGGTAATATAGATTCATATGGTGTATAGGAATGTAAAAATTCCGGAAGCAAAAGGGTTGATCAAGCTGAACCGGGCTTTGACCCATTTGGCCATAAAACCGTTAGCGTAACAGCGGAACATCTTACGACACCGTATCAAAGCAGCCTTAAAACATTGGTTTTATGGAAAATGTGCACTCACCCAGCGGACTCGGACCCATCACTGTAGCTCAGCTGACATTTCAAGCGAAGGCTGTAAACCCTAGAGCGCAAATTGTTGATCCGCGTAAGGATAAGCAGGAGAGGAGGAAGATACCGATCAGATCGAATCGAATCAAAAAATGGCGATGGCTGCATTGAGGCGTGAGGGAAGGCGTTTCGCCACACCTCTCATTTCTCCCAACCCGACCAATGCTCTTCGTTCTTCCCTAATTCCTTCCCAGTTAGTTTTCTTCCTCTACTACTGCTTTTTTAATCATTTTTTTATTGTATATATAAATATCTGTAGACAGTAATGGCTCAATTTTTTATTTTCTTATGCATATCTGTTATTGTACACTAGAGCACTTCTATTAACAAAATCCTAAAAATTAATTTTTATGCTGGCAAAGCTTGTATGAAGTTCACTGGATTTAGATTTGTTGGTGATCATATATTTATCGTAATTGGATATCCCCCTTTTTTTTTTCGAGATTTAAGAATATAGTAGTTATTTGGTCAGAAGGAAAAAGGTTACCTTTAACTTTGACTTTATAGAGAATTGTAATTGACATTGCCTGAGCTTAAATAGTTGATTTGGAACTTGAGAAAGGTACAGAATTTTAAGAGATTTTTGGAACGGAAGTTGCAAAGAAAAGAATTGTAGAAACTGATTAAGTTCTCATTCTTAAAAATAAAAATGAAAATGGGAGAAATTGATGAAGTTCAAATAATATCTAGTAATTGTAATTTTTTTTTTGGATGGATTATGCGAGGTTGCTGCACTGACATGAATTATGTTTAAGTGTGCCTTTTTATATCAACAAGAGAGTGATGATCTCCCTTTCTGCTTCTATAACAGGCTCATGCTCAGCACCTTAGCTTAAAATGATATAAGTATTATTTTCCACATTTTTTCTTTCAATCAAAATTATTCTCTTCTGTTTCAGGGGAAAAAACAAATTATCCTGTTTTGTTTCATAGCATTTCACTTTTATGACCTATATTTATTTGCAGGGAACCAGTCTCGTCAGGAGTTCGATGTATTTCAACTCAAGTTGGTAAGTTTTGGCCGTAATCCTTTGATGCACGCTAATTTCCTTGGCCTCTCCTATGTTCTCGTTAACTTCTCTACCAACTTTCTGGTTGGCTACATTAAGTACATTGGACATTCCCTTGTGCAGTCAGAAACCGGATGAAGAGTGTTAAAAATATCCAGAAGATTACAAAGGCTATGAAGATGGTTGCTGCTTCAAAGCTGAGAGCTATTCAAACTAAAACTGAAAATTCACGTGGCCTATGGCAGCCATTTACTGCTCTTCTTGGTGACACTCCTAGTAAGTTCGTGATTAAATTGTCTGGATCTAACTAAATTCTTGAATCAGTTAGCGGAGAAAGTGGTGAAAGGGTAGGGATGAATCACCTTATGGACTGTTCATGCATCCTTTCATCTGCTGCCTATTTCTAACTAGCTTATCTAGTCTGTTTTTGATTCTCGGATTAGTCTTTACTAATTCTAATGTGTAACTGCACCCAAGGGTGTGGCCTGGTGATCAATAAAGTGGGGGGAGAACCATGAGGTATCAGGTTCAAATCCCAGTAGAGGAAAAAACACTAGGTGATTCAGTCCCATATGCCTAACCCTTGGTAGGCAGAGTTACCCGGTACTTGTTGTGGTGGAAGGCAGCACGTATCTAGTGAAATAGTCGGGGTGTGAGCAAGCTGGCCGGAACACCACTGTCATAATAAAATAAAAAGAAAAAAACCATTGAGGTGGAAGTCATAATTTGGTGCATTTTCAAGCGCAAGCTCAGTACCATGGAGATCAGTACCCTGGAGATTGTCTAGCAGGGTTCACTGGACCCATGAGAATGTTTATCCTCAGATTATTTTGTGCTGAGATACTTCATGAATGTGGGAAAACGGATAATAGGAAATTGCCCCTCTCTCTGCCTGTCGATTTGCGGTCCAATATCAATGTTTTGTGCATTTTGATGCAACAACTAAATCAACATTTTGTGAAAGGGTATTGCCGCAGCCTGAATGCATTTTGTTGATGAGACTTTCCGAGATACATTTTACTACACCAAAGTTTATAAATTTGATGCCATCAACTTTAAGCAGTCAACAAGAAATCTTCGGCTGATAACACATCTAACATTTGTTGCTTCAGGTGTTGATGTCAAGAAGAATGTTATAGTTACCATTTCCTCAGACAAAGGTCTTTGTGGTGGAATCAATTCTACATCTGTCAAGATAAGCAGGGCTATTCATAAGTTGAATTCTGGTAAAATGCAAAATTGTTTTATATTGACTAAATTTGTTCTTCCGGAATTAGTTTAATGTTTCTTTGTTTGCAACTACTAGGCCCTGAAAAGGAAAATAAGTATGTTGTCTTGGGGGAAAAGGCTAAGGCTCAGCTGTTGCGAGATTCGAAGAAGGACATCGAGCTGATCATGACTGAGTTGCAGAAAAATCCCCTTAACTACACACAGGTTATGATGTGTTACATCTTCCTTATTTTCAACCTTGTGTGAACTGTGAAGCATGCCCACTTTTTATTTTCCTACTTTTTGCCAACTATTTCTTGAAGTTGGTGCTGCTGTAGCTTACCCTGTGGTACATGGATTGTTCATTTGGCTTAGCGTATCCTTGTCGAACTGGTATGACATGGGTGATGGTACTTTGTGTAGATGATTCAAAAGCAGGCAAATTAGAAAGAGACTGTACCTGGCCGAATTATAATTTAAAATAGGACTGCATTTGCCTTTATGGGATGCTTCACGAACACTGCATGTACCTAGGGGTGTTCACGGTTTGACGGAAAACCGATCCAAACCGAAAACCGAACCAAACCGATTAAGTAAACCGATATTTTTTTTGATTTGGACTGGTTTTGGTTTTAAATTTTAAAAACCGATAATATTTGGTTTGGTTTTGGTTCTATTTTAAAAAACCGAAAAATAAACCGAACCAAACCGATTAATTATATATAAAATTTAATAATTATTTATATACAATATAATATCTTTTTGTTAATAATTTTAATTGTTATTTTGAATTTTGGTTTATCCTGTTATATCTTATAAGATTGCCTAAGCCCAAAACAATAGGATTCGACCAATTTTCTTGCACATACTTTTGCCTAAAAGAAGAGTTAAAAAAAAAATCACCACAAGAGTAAAGAAAGCACATTCAAATTGCAAGACAACAATGGCTAAAGCTTGAGAAAGCAAAGTTTTAGTTTGTTTTTTGTTCATTCTTCTCATATAAACATGTAAATAAACTTTCAGTTCTCAAAGAAATATATAAAAAGCATAAATTTGGCCAATTATTTTCAGATTGTTGTCTAGCGTTGTTTTAATATTATCGACTTATCATTAGCTTGCTAAGAACCGAAAAACCGAACCAAACCGAACCAAACCAACAATAATCAAACTGATGGTTTGTATTTAATTTGGTTTGGTTTTGGTTTTAAAATTTTAAAAACCGATTAAATTGGTTTGGTTTTGGTTTTAATCAAAAACCGACCAAACCGAACCGTGAACACCCCTACATGTACCTGCATCAGATACTTGCACACAACTTAATTAAATCCAGACCATTAATCAAGTCCATGTAGTATAGGGCTCCTATTTTTTTTTTTTTGGGGGGGGGGGGGGTTTTGACCTGTACATGAATCTGTGGTATAATCTTTTATTTTGCATTTTTTTTCCGAGAAAGTAGACAATTGAAAGCTATGTCTCACTCGCCTTTATTTTCATTTTTCAGAATGTCAACTTTGGCTGATTTAAATTCTTGTTGAGTTTTACATGTGTAAAGCAAACAAACTTACCTTTTTCTCAAAAAACATGTGTAAAGCAAACAATTTGATTGCAATGTTGCAACTTCAAATCTTTGTGAATTAAATGAAAATCTTATAGTGCCTGATAAGTATTGGAAGCAATACGTATGCACTGAAATAATATACCGACAGCTGTTTTGTATTGACTTCTTTACACTGTTCCTTCTACTGATATATGTAATTTCTCTTGCAGGTTTCTGTGATTGCAGATGACATCTTGAAGAATGTAGAATTTGATGCACTGAGGATTGTTTATAATAAGTTCCAGTCAGTTGTCGCATTTTTGCCAACAATGTCCACTGTACTATCTCCAGAGGTGCCTAAACTGGAAGGTCTTGTTGTTCACTATGTTTCTTTTCATTTTATCTGTTTCTTGGAACAAGTCTTTTGTGGTTTAATGTAGGTTGTGGAGAGGGAGGCTGAAGCTGGTGGAAAGCTTGGAGAGTTGGATTCATATGAAGTTGAAGGTGCCGAGACAAAGGCTGAAGTTCTTCAGAACCTAGCTGAATTTCAGTTTTCATGTGTAAGTTTGCCATTTTAGTGTTAGAGCCGTCTTATAAGCTTGCTATTTGCTCTCCTCGGCTTCTAAATAAATGTGGTACTGGTTTTTGGGGGGGGGGGGGAATAAATAAGTCTTGACCGTGGTTTCTGATGGATATATTTACCGCTAATAAAATGATTCTTTCAAGGTGATGAATATGATACTGGTGTGTACTTAAAATTGGATAAATTGCAAAATGTCTTTTCCAGGTTATGTTCAATGCAGTTCTAGAGAACGCTTGTAGTGAGCAAGGAGCAAGAATGTCTGCCATGGATAGCTCCAGCAGAAATGCTGGTGACATGCTTGATCGTCTCACTCTTACTTACAACAGGTCTTACTCTTCACCCTGTCTCTATCACACACGTATTTGCACCGTCAAACTCTCAGGCATGCTTACACAGTCAAACAGAAAGAGACAGTTTATCTCTCTCAAACTTGGCCTACACATAACTTCAGATGCTCTATCGGAAAAAAAAAGTTAAATAAATAAAGCCCCTCAAAAGTACCCTAAGCTCTCTACTTAGCGCACATGCTTATCTACACGTATGCAGTTATGAACCTACAAATAAATTGATATTTCCTTAATTGATGTCCAACATACTGCAGATTTGCTAACTAACTGGCTTTATATACACCACTAATAGTGACAAGTGGCTGCTGATACATCATGATCTAAACAGATGACATTTGTATACTTTTGAGGATAACATATAATTTAGAAGGTTGATCGATTCTTTTTTGTCTGTCATTTTTACTGGCCTTTTTTTATATTTTTTTCTGTGAAACAGAACCCGTCAAGCATCTATCACCACAGAACTGATAGAGATCATATCAGGAGCATCAGCACTGGAGGGTTAATTGGACCAGCTATTGCTTCTGTCTGATGGAGACAATAAAAAATCTATAGCCTTTTTTAGCACCGTGAGGTGGATGATTATCAGTTTTGATTTATGAATAATCTCCCGGTTAACTTTTATTTCTGGGGAAAATCGGTTTCACTGTTGCAAAATAGTCACAAATGTCATGATCTGTTTCCTTTTATTCTTTGTACCGGGTGGCACAGCCTGAATTGCCATAACTTGGTCAAGAAAATTTTCTTGAAAAGCTCTTTGCCTTGGTGCATGTTTTTGGCTTGTAAGTTGACATCTGCCCTTTCATCAAGTTTCTACTTTGTGAGCTATTCTGGTCCAGTGTAAGGACTTTGTGACTGTTTTTAAATGTAATCTGGTTCTATCAGCCTCAAAATGGGCTATGGAACATTTACAGCCATACAGTTAAATGATATAATAATATTGCTTCAAATGTTATGATGTACTTGTAGTTTATGGTGTGCTCTTGCGAAGGTACCCAATTTCTTCAGAATGAAAGTGCATGATGATTGTAATTTTCTGAGAAGCGTAAGTTCATGTCAGTAATTCAATATACCTATTTAGGATTGAGTATTCTCTTGTCAAACACTGCCCTTGGAACTTGTCCTAACTGCAACATTACTTAAATAAGACGATGACATCTTTCATGTTATTTATGGAAACAAATTTAAAAAACAGACAACTTTTTATGTTCAAAATAGAACTTGTTGGAATTGCAATTTGCTCATAGCTTATGTGACTATTAGACAAAGGAACAGCAAGCCGGCCAGGGGAAACATCTGGGCATTAAACTAGGCAAGCTTCTCTGTTAGTACGTTTAAAGAGGTTTACTTGTCAAATATTTAGGCCGGCCACATTAGCTTGCTCCCATAAAAAAACTGTTTTATCTAGTGAAAACTAATGGTAAAAAAAGGGCAGTTCGGTGCATTAAGCTCCCGCTATGTGCGGGGTCCGGGAAAGGGCCGGACTACAATGATACTATTTTATAATTTGTGAGTTACTATGTTCTAGCTTTGGTAGTAGGAAATAGTATCTCTGTGGAAAGTGTACCAACTCTACATTCCTCTAATCTCTAGGCATAGAAAAAATAATCCACATATTTCTCGACAGCAAATGTCAAACCCATTGAGTAGGTTGGAGCTTAGCCATTGATATTTTATCTCTCAAGGAAATCAATTGGTCAATTCTTGCTTGTTCTTTTTCCTCTGGTACAATAACTCTTGGTATTGTTTTGATGCAAGATGGAATCAACTGAATTGTTATTGTCGCTAGCAAATAGAAGTGAATGGTAATGGTCCTTTCTTGTCCTGATATGTTCGTTACAACCCACGAGATCCCCACAACGTGACAACATGTTCGAAACTCCACCTTTGCAGGGACTTTCTTCTTCGTCAATATACTATATTCCTTCACAAATCTCATCTTTCCTTTTTACATTCACAAATCTATTCAAAAGTTACAACAACAACAAGCCCAGTAAAATCTCACAAGTAAGATCCGGGAAGGTAAAGTGTACGCAGACCTTACCCCTACCTTATGACGGTAGAGATCTCTCGGCTCAGAAATCTATTCCAAGTTATTATAAATAAATGTTTTCTCTTTTATTCCTACGCAAAGCTAGTATTTTCTTTTGTTAAACCGCTGAATGTTATTCTGTTTGAATGTTTTAATATTTACAACGTTATTATAGTGTTTGTCACTAATTCATTAGTGTTTTGCTGTGCTGAAGTGAATAATAGATGTTTATACATTTCAATATTTCGTACCAAAACATGGATGGCTATTAAATCTTCAAATTGATGTAGTTTAGTAGTGAAGTAATAGAATTGTTATATTTCCTTTTTTTAATAAAAGAAATCTATTCCACAATCGATCATTTTCATGAAAGCAGTACTAGGTCCTACTATTATTTATAGGAAGTAAGTGCCTTTTATAGGAAGCAAGTGCCTCAGCCTTAATTAGGTTTATGATAAATGAGAAGTTTAAATGTGAGGTAGGAAGAAAATTAAGGGTCACTCATATTACTGTCTGGTTTGGAATTATATCTGTACTGCTAATGAAGTTCACTATTTTAGTCTGTCTTTAAATGTCAATATCCCAAATTATCTCACGATTCAACTACAAAATTTTAAATCATTTGTAGTTTTCATTGTGAATGGTAGATTCAGTTTTTTGACATATAGCAGATACTCATTTGAAAGAGCAAGTTGATCTGACAAATATATGTAATTTTTCTTATACTTATTTTTTCACATATATATAGAATTGGATCTTCAAAAACTGAATTATGCTGAACACGTAAGTTCATGATTAGATCAGCTAGTATTGGTTGTGGTGTGATAGTATTGCAAAATATGATTATGAATTTGTGATCATTTTCAGTAGTGGCTATGGCCTGTGGGTTCACTTTATTTGATGTGGTTTCTCTCATTAGTGCCCTTTAAGAGAAATGTAGTTCTCATGATAACTATTTGTGGATGCACTTTTATATCAAGTTGGTGGATCATATATTTTTAAAATGATTCAAGGACCTTATTTATTGAAAAATTAACTTAAATAGCAACAACAAGTACGGATGTGTGTTCATAACATACATGTGACTACGTCCCTGGCAAGTATAGCTTCAATCTCAAGATTAGTTCATCATGTTCAAAATAATGTACTACTAGACTCACATTAGCTCTTGCATAATTTATCGTGCTCACGTTGTTAATCAATTGAGTAAAACATAGAATCAAGTAGAACACACGATCAAACAAGGTGTTGTTAGATTTTACCAAGGTTTGACTTGTGTGTAAATGACCTTGGATAAGAGATTTGATGATTCCTACGGGTTCGTATGATGATCTTGGACTTAGGCATATGTTCAGGTTCGGAACTGAAGCTCCCTAAATGCGTTTGTATAATTTATGTGAATTGACTAAAAAAAAGGTAAACAGTAAATTCGACCGACTATTTATATTAAAATCCCTTATTTATTTTCTGCAGGGTCCATTACAAACCATGGCTACAATTGTCAATTAAGTTGAGATCTCCATTCCACCACCTTATCCCCTCTCCCTTTCATAAAACAAATAAATAAGCTGAAGTTAGCCGTTGGCTACTTTGAAAATCGCCTTGATATAAATATATTCCTATCACACGTTCCTCATGTCCATTCTTCATATTTTTATTCATTTTATTAAGATTTACGTTTATTATATATACACTCTTCTTGTAGTTGAACTTGAAAGAATTGAAAGTTAAATATTAAATGAAAAACAGACCTGGTCTTTTGGATTGACAATTACAAGAATGTGACATTACATCTAATAATCCCATCTTTAAAGAGTTGAACAAGTTTTGTTTTCAAAAAATGGACATTAGTTGAGTTCTAAAATTATTTTTTTCGCTCCTTATAATTAAATTATGGGGGGAAAATACGAAAATTTGAATTTGCATCATGAGATAACTCAATGACAGGGCAAACTATCAGATTATGTCTATAAGGACATTGTTAGTATTAAACATAATACATCAGGTCTTTGATAATGTAATTGTCTGTCAAACGATAAAAATGTGAACGATAATACTATCAAAAGTCTAGATAAGCTCGTAATAAATTTATACATTGTGCACGATAATAGCGTGAAACAAAATGACATTATTATACATATGAGCAAAAAAGATAAATCTCAAACTAAAGAATAATCAATTTCAATAATTTAATACTCATTACTATTACATTATACAAACTTGCAACTTATATATCTTTCATTTGTCAAAAAGAAAAGTCCAAAAAGGATGAAAATAGAAATTTAATTATCATCCCTCCATTTTGGCTATAAAAGAAACATCATTTCAGTACCGGTTGGTTTTAAGGAAAAAATAAAGACTAGTAAAAGTGTAAAACCATATAAAATTTCTCCCAATATTTCTTTAGTGTAAAAATCTGCGCCTTTCTGTGTAGATAATGGGGCAAAATGAGGACCCAAATCTCCAACCAAATGACCCTTTTCACACCAACCTGTGAAAAAAAAATCACTCTTTTCTTTTTCTCTATCTTAAACAGACCCAGAATCCTTTTCAAGATTATTTTTTTCTTATTTATATTCATCACTCCCTTTTTACTGTACTTTATATACCCGGTGGCTGAGTTGGGTGTAGTTGTTTGGTGAAAATTGGTTGATTTTTATTGGTGGGATTTTGCACTTTACCTGCGCCTTTCAAACGAGTAGCCTTTAGATTCTTGCTATTTTTTATTGGATTTTTCCGGGGAAAATTTTGATTATTTCTTTTTATTGATGCGTCGTGCGGTGCAGAAAGGATGTTTTTGCATATGTTTTAAAGGGATTGAGGTTCTTGTTCTTTTGGTTATTGAACATGGCTTCTGATTGTTCTTAAGGTTTGACAAGTTGTATTTGGTTCAGAAAATTGAGAAAATAGAATTATTTTTGGGCATTTATTGTTTGATAAAAGCGTAATCTTTCCTCATTTGGTAGTTTTTTCCTCTTTTTCTTTCCAGTTTGCATTAGGGTTTTTGACTATAGCTTCTCAAGAACTGAATTGAATCAAGGCAAAGAGATACTTCTGTTAATTGTGATTAGTGCCTTCCAATTTGATTTGTCATTGGCACTTTTTTTTTTTAATTTTAGGATTTAAGAAGTTTTGCCTCTGCTACTTAGATGATTGCAACAGGGAGATTTTGGTTGCAGAACTAGGTTAGTATTATCTGCTGTGAGGAATTGCAGTGAACATGGATATTTGGGTTGTGGCTGCAGCTGCCGGTGCTGGTTATATTGCCCAGCATTGGAAGGATCTCTTAAAAAGCAGACATGAATTTTCAGAATCATCTCTTAAGTCTCCTAGTTTTCTAAGAACTGACTCATTACCGCGTATGCAGCAAGTCCTGGATAGTAATTGTTCCTCCCCTGTAGAGACACCGAGAAAGAAACTAGGCGAATGTCATGATCCAGAAGTGGCTTCCACCAGCAATTTGGCTGGTGAAAACCGAGGGATGTCTTGTGGAAGCATATGTGATGACATTAATGAACCGGGATATGAGTCATTACTTCCCCCTTCTACGACTGAATTGGCCTTTTCTTATGGTGGTAATGCGAGGAAAAAGAGCAGCCTTAGGAGTAGAAGAAAAATTGGGCATCTAATAAAGCCTCTAAATTCTCTAGAAAGTTGTCTCATGGCTCAATTATACGAGGAACATGGTGAAGTTGAGGACTATATTTTTAGTTCAAACTCTTCACCATGGACACCAACTGCGAGACCATTTCTAGTTACCGACGGAAGCAGAATTATAAGCAGAGGTACGTCTAACTCCTTGAGTACCTCAAGAGGCGCTGGACATCATAAGCTGCAGGTTAACTTTTCAAAATTGAATACTGTATTTGGAGTCCCTCAACTACCTAGTGTTGGATCCATGGAGCTCCCGGGAAAAGCCGAGGTGAAGGATCATTCTGGAAGATTTAGTGATTTCATTAAAATGAACAATGAGAGACGCGGAAGTTTACAAGGTAATTTTTTCTGTTTGAAGTCTGATTTTAATGGTTTCCATGGTAAGATTTAATGAAATAGATAGATATTATTTTCCAAGATATTAGACACTTAGCAACATTCTCTGAAAGAATTTAAAACCAGTAGAGAAAAATGGGATGTAGCTCCCAAATATTTTCCATCAAGATATTATGCTAATGCACAGCTTTGCAAAATGGTAGTCAATTTTCACATAATGAAACACATGAATGATTTATCTGTTTACCTGCAACAGTTGATGGAACACAAAATAATTTGTAAGAGAGATGGTCGTTTTGTACCTTAATGGAGTCATGTCTGTTTCTTTCTTTAGACTTCTACTTGCGATACTAAAACTTTTGAAGCTCATAACTGCTCATGAATTTCCTGCTAATGGCACGATAAGTGAATACTAACTTCTATCTTGTTAGTAAGTAATATTAACAGCTCCTATTATCCCCCATTTTATGGTTGTCTTGAAATCAGGATCATCTCATGGTGTGCTTCTTTTCTGTCTTGGAATATCTGTGGGCATAATATCTTCTTTCTGGAAAAATAGAAATGAAATGGATAAATTAAATGAGATGCTGAGACAGTCAGAGAATTTGGTTCAAGATCTACATGAGGAACTTGAGATGAAAGATTCATTAACTGTGAAAGAGCTTGCTGCTGAAGATTGTGAATCACAAGATAGACATCATGATTCTTCAAACAATGAAGCTTTACATGCACCTTCCCCTAAAGGGAAGTTGGATAAGTCGTCAACAAATTACGATGAAGACTGTCAAAGCCAGAAGACAGAGGAAGAATCTATGAGTAAAATTGAAGCAGAGCTTGAAGCTGAACTGGAGAGGTTAGAATTCAGTATGAACTCGTCTAAGTTGGAGGGGAAACTTGCAGAACTAGATGAGGTAGGAATGCTTTCTGATTAATTCATCCCTATGCCTTTTTTTTTCTTTTCGCGTAGCTAAAACACAAATTGCTTACTTTGATACTCCATTCTTGAAAATATAGTTATCTTATTAGAGAAGTTAATTTAGGCATTATATGCACATAAGCATTTTGGTGCAAGATCGACAACTGGTTAACTTTGACAGCTTATGAATTTGTGTTTTTTCAAGGAAGCGCTAGAGCTTATGGTTGGTAATAGATAAGCTTAAAGATAGGTACTTCCATCAGTTCTTGCCATTAGAAATAACTATTCAGGAGGATCTCTCTAGTGCTTATTGATTTCTGGTGGTTATGTTGCATATTGTTGCTGAGCTCTTTAGTCTCTAATACTGCTATTAGTAGGATGTGTACCTTACATTTATAAGTCATATCATCAGATCTAATATCTTTATTGAACTTTATGAAAATATATTTGTGGTTTCTTAGACATTATATCCTTCTTCTTTCTTCAGGTTTGCCCATCTTTTTCCTTTCTTGCTATCTTCTTGATCTGGATAGTATAGACCGGCAACTTTTTCAGCTTATACAATGTCAGGAGGGCTCTTCTTTAGAAGATTGAGAAAATTTCACATCATGATGTTTGCGGCGAATAGGTTTTTGTGCTTCAATTTGCTTGCTGTGGCAGTTAGCTTTGTGATCTAGTGTGCAATTTAGGCGTATCTTGTGTTTGCATTCTCTCTGTGTTGGAGATTTTTTTAAAGTTCTCTTTTCCAGATTTTTGTTTAGCTTCTTGTCAGTCTTTAATCAGTCACTATGATCTCTAGCTTTTGCAAGTATCATCAATCTCAATCTTAATCAAGTTGCCCTTTTCCTTCGATCCTCTAATGAAGAAGTTCTGTATTCATGTCTTTACTAGGAGAACCATTGGATTTATGATTGGTAGGATCAGAGTATCATCCATATCTGGTTTCTAGAAGGAATCTATGTTATAGTTTGAAGAATTCATAGGATAGTTCTCAGAGAGACTTAGAAGTTATGACTGGTGCAACCCTTTTACATACACTAGTAAAGGAAAATGACTCTCATTGCTATACCACATAACAACTAAAGCCAGGTTCCAATAGGTTGCTTCGGTGAAGAGAAAACGGAAGACAATCTATGCCTGCCATGTTAAGCTATACATGTATAGAGTCAGTTGTCTGCTATTTTAAAGAAGCTTTAATAATTGTTCAATCTTTTGCAGCTTGATCCAGGCTTTGTGCCAGATCTAGCCGAGGGGGAGTTTAGAGCTGAACTCTTTAGTACACAAGCCAAAGGTCAACCTTATGCAGATCAGGACGGTAGCGCAACCTCGACCCCTCATCCTGTTGACTATGCTGTCTCGCCAAGAGAGCTGAGCTTACGGCTGCATGAAGTCCTTCAATCACAATTAGAAGAACGCCTCAAGGAGCTTGAGATGGCACTTCAGAACAGTGAAAGGAAAGTTCGGTATATGGAAGCAGAACTTGTAAGTTCTTGGAGGGATTCCTCAAACAGTGAAGGGGGTTCTTCTTCCACCCATGGTAGTCCTGTAACTAAAGTTGAACAACGTCCAGCAGACCAGCCCGTGGTAATCAATTTATCCGGGGAAGCTTTAGATGCATATAACGAGGCTTTTGACGATTTCACGAGGTTAAATGAGTCAGAGGAAGAGGATGTTGCTGTTGCATCAGGGGTTAAGGACAGCAACCACCAAGAAAACTCGCGATCACGTGAACGGGACTTTGACTGGATTGAAAATGGTAGGATAAATGATGAAAGTGAAGATGGTGATGATGAGATGGAGAAATTAATTAGGCATATTGTTGAGAAAGCCAGGAAAGGCTCTCCAGCAGTTTTAAATGTGCAGAGAGCTTTGTTCTCACTTGATGATAATGAACATTGATATATTCCCAATACAAAGTAAAGAGGAAAAAAAGATTTTTGCATTTTTTTGTTTTTTTTGGTTTCCCACCCGGTGTCCGGTACCTGCATTTGAGCTCGATTATATCCGGATTCCCGCCGCGTAGGGCCCTATTCGGGGGGAAGCGCTCCCTATCAAGGATTTTTCCAGTTAATTGACAACTTATAAGTCAATTTGCCTGTATTCTCAAATATGAACCTTTTTCAAACCCCCAAATCCTAGATAACTAGTTCTTTTTTAGCAGAAAATGTTTGAGCTTAATCAGCTTGAAATACCAAATGCCTCTGCCCCTAAAGTGTATGGTGGTGGGTGGTTGGGGGGGGGGGGGGTAGGGACTATGGTAAAAAAGAACCTAATATTATTAGTAATAAAGTTTAGTACAAAAACCTTCCAAGGTTGTTAGGCACAATTAAAAAAATTAAAAAGAGGATGAAGTTGTTAAAATTTACTGATTATGATTTATCTTGCGCCTTAAGTTAGGGCCTAAGTTGCTCGGACACGGGTGCGGATCTAGATGTCGGATCCTTCGAGATGTAAATTCTAAGATTCGGGGATATGGATCCTAGTATGGATACGGGTGGAGGGATCCGGCTAAAAATAATTCAAAAAAATAAAAATATAAAAATATCTCTAAATTATGAGAAATTGTGTGGAATACTTAGCTTGTAAAGTATGAATATTTTTATTGTCAAATTGTAGATAAGTAAATGATTAATTTCCTAGATAAGGTATGCTATTTTCTTTTGATTTACTCTAGTTTTAGTTCTAATTTCGGGAATCAAATTGTATCTCGCCTCGAATTTTTCTGTCTGATGTGGTCAATGTATCCAAAATTATTTGACCAAATCCAGTACGGATCCCATACCCACACTCATACTAGTGTCGTGTCGACACGGGTACAACATCTAAACTGCCATGTCGGAGCAACTTAGGTTAGGGCTTAGTAACTAGGGCTGTTCATTTGGATCGGATATCCGAAATCTGAACCGATCCATTCAATTTCGGATTTCGGATCGGATCGGATTGGTATATTTTAATCCGATCCGATCCGAAATCCGAAATTATTAGGGCATGTATAAATACTACACTTTAATTTTGGATAGTCAGTACTTCCTTTACATCTTCCTCCAAGCTATTACCTTTACAATTGCTTGATTTAGCTATATTATCACCATAGTACTCTCATAATTGCATAAACATGAATTTTTCTTAATGTATTGCCTCTTTTACAAAGAAAATATATATAATAGTTTGCAACTTTGAGGCATAATAATACGATCCGAAATCCGATCCGATCCAAACTTTAAAATCCGATATAATTCGGATCGGATTCGGATTGCATTTTCTAGAATTCGAAATCCGAAATCCGAATCCGAAATGTGCTAAATCGGATCCGTGCACAGCCCTATTAGTAACAACATACATGGGATTTACCTTCTTTTCCTATTTTAGTTTCTCTCTAACAAGTTTCCCTTACTTTTAGCCCGTTATTTCACAAATTACAAATTTTCTCTTAATAATCCTTATCCAAAAGCTTTAAATTGTTATTGATTGAGTTAATGATTTTAGAATTTTATGTATAAAAACTGATAATAAATTTTTTTTAAAAACTGCACATGCATCCAATGTGGGTCATTATCTAATTAAACTTAAGCCCGACTTATAGCAAATGATTAAGAGATTAAGCGTCCTAAATCTCCTAGGACTAAAACACTTCAACTTTTTCCCTTTTCTTTTGGGGTGAGAGGGTATATATTGTGCGTAGTTGCTGCTTGATCATTCATAATTAGGTTTCGCCTACTGTGAAGAATTGACATAGCTTTACACTTAAGAGGTTAGACTTCTCTCCCCTTTCTTCTCTTATAATTAATATATGGAGTTCAAATTATTTTAGATCATTCCTTGCTGTTTTTTTAAATTCTTTTATAGTTGTTGATGTTGTTGTTTTTTGAGCCGATGGTCTTGGAAATAACCTCTCTACCTTTACAAGGTAGGGGTAAGGTCAGAGGCGGAGCCACAATGTCGTTTATGATTTCAGCCAAACCCAGTAGCTTTGATTCAAATCATGTATTTTTCTTAAAATTTTCATTAAATATATACAAATTATTAATTTAGAACCCAGTAACTTAAAAGGATTAAGACCCCGAACAACGGCAGATCTAGAATTTTTAAATTATTTGTGCTCAACTATTTTTAATTTGGAAATTACCACTTAGTTTATGAATTATTAATTTTTCTATACAAGTAATAGTGTTTGTGTCCAAAAGCAATCAAAGACAGATCCAAGATTTAAATTTTATGGGTTCAATATTTAAGATTCTTAATATTGAGCTCATTATATTTCTAAAGTTATGGATTCATATCTACTATTTGTTGCAATTTTAGTAAATTTTTATACCCAAATTTACGCTCCGCATCAAAAGTTATGGGTTCAATTGAACCCGTAAATACAATGCTACATTCACCTCTGAAAGCAATGGGTGCTTAAGCTCCGCCACTACCGACACCCCTTCGTCGAAAAATTACATTGTTTAGCTCAGTAATTTTAACAAAAATATGTATTATAATGACACCCTTTGACTTTTTGGTGAGTTTATTTTTTTATATTTTGATCCCTTAATGAAAATCGTGGCGTTATATATAGAATTACATTAGAGTTATTGTTGTTGTCGTGATAATAGTTATTAATTCATGTATTAGTTGTCATGATTAGGGTGAAGGGGACTACTTTTGTTCCAAATAACACAATGGAAAAGAAGAACAAGACTGTCGATATGATTTCTAGTTTTCTCAAGCGTGGAAAGCAGCAACAGGCACCAAATACAAGGATGAATTCGAAAGGTGAAGATGATCAATGGATATTTATGCTGGAAAATCAAATTGATGAAAAAAGGGACAAGGAAGAACAATTAGCAACGCTTTTAATTGTGGTTGGTATCGTGCTGCTTTATGTCAACTATTTTCCTGTGCTCCTTGTAATTGGTAACCCCTTTGTCTCCAGATTCGTTAACTTGTGCTGTGCATTGGCTATCATCGTTATCGGTTTAATAATGCTCGACCCTAAGGGATTGGAGAATCAAACCCTTAAACATTAGGTTTTTTTTTTTTCTTTCTCTTTTAAACATTTATTTTTGTGAGAGGCGTTTAATTTGGACAATATTTGGTTGAGTTGAAGTAGGAGAAGAGTATTTGAATCTATTGATGTGGCAGTTTGTTGTTTTTGGAATATTTTTTAATGTAGCCAAGTTCCTTGTAAATTAACATAATAGCTTTGATCATTTTTTTTGCGCAAATAATTACTACTCCTACTTAATTTGTTTGCTCAAATATATAGAGTTCAAAATGTAGTTTAGTCTTTGAGTATTGTTGTGAGTCCAAAACTTCTAATATGTATATGTGCACTAATGTATGTCCTCTTAGATCAATATTAATTTCAGTAATACCTTTTCCTTTATATTTTGCTTTCACGGACCTTAAATCTTCAATATTTAATGTAATGGTGTCTTGATTGTTAATTCCTCGAGTTCGAATTATAGGCATGGTTATTCTCCATAAGTAAGAAAAGTTTAAGGGCTGAGCAATATCATACATCTAATATGTTGCAGTTACATCTAATATGTAGGTCTGATTCTCGTCTATCATAAAACAAACTACTAATTAAGATAAAAGAGGACTATATAATGCATTTAATGTAAAGATTAAAATTTTAGAGAAATACTCACTCAATTTAATGTGATCACATCCTGCCTCTGATATAAGTCTAACTTATAGTAAATTAGGGATTGTTGTGTATAATTCTCATATAAAATACCACTACTAGAAATCCAAAAAAGCGACCAAAATTTGGCGACCGAAATTGGTCTGTCAAGAAAAGCGACCAAAGTTGGTCGCTAAATTGAAAAATAATTAAATAATTATTCTAAATACATTAGCGACCAAGGTTGGTCGCTTTTTGGTCGATAATGTGGTCAAAATGTTGACCGGACTGGTGAGACTTGCTTGGTCAAAGAAATACTGAAATTATTGGTCGCTGGGACCCAGTTATAAAATTTTAATAATTATATTATTATTTTAAAAAAATAATAAAATATAAATAAATATAATTTAAAATTAGCGACCAAGGTTGGTCGCTTACGAAAGGGGAAGCAGATAGAGACCAACTTTGGTCGCTAATCCGGGACCCAATTATAAAATTTTAATAATTATATTATTATTTAAAAAAATTCTAAAATATAAATAAATATGATTCAAAATTAGCGACCAAAGTTGGTCGCTTACGAAAGGGGAAGCAGATAGAGACCAACTTTGGTCGCTAATCTGGGACCCAGTTCTAACGTTTAACAATTATATTATTATTTTAAATATTATATAAAATATAAATAAATCTGATTTAAATTTAGCGACCCAACTTTGGTCGCTAATTTAATTTCTGGATAATTAGCATCCAAAGTTGGTCTCTTTTCAAGTCAACATTGGTCAAAATTAAAAATCACTTTTGTATTTACTATCTAAATAATATAAATGTAATCCGTTAACACTTTTGTAATACAAGGGATGAATACACTAAAATATACTCTAACATGCTATATATGTAGTTAAAGTAGTACAACGAAGCGTGTTATATATATATATATATATATATATATATATATATATATATATATATATATATGTAAATTGATTCATCGACTTATAACCTACTCAGATGCATCGTTGAATATTAAAAACAAAACGTCTCGACTTATATCAATTAATCTGTTATAATTGATTCATCGACTTATAACCTAGTGATGAATGAATAAGATTGATCATCAATTACAATATAGTTTATGCGTGTGTATGAAATTACTCATATACTTAAATATAAGTTAAAAAAATCCTTTACATACATTGTATTATAATTTATTAAAAGTAATTACCTAGTTAATTTAATTTTTTTAAGATTATGCTTATAGTTTTTAATTATTTATAATAATTGTAGTTAAATAAAATAAATAGCTAATAAGATTTTTTATAGCTTATAAT